CAGTGGTCATGATTCTCATTTGTAATTCAATGCTTTTTTGTACAAAACTACAAGATGTTCCTTCCGATTTGACCCTTTCAGCACCGTTAATGCTAGCGCACCTCTGCAGAAAAACTGAGAATTTATTTCAAAAAAATTAATAATAAACCTTGGTTCGAAAAGAGTTAAAATTAACCTGGTAATCATAAATGATCAAGTTCCAGTTGAAGTACAAATGAAATGGCGTCACAAAATCGAGTTGCTAAAATACATTCCGAAAATGAATAAAAAAAAAATTAAAAATATTCCAAAAAAGAAAAATGAAAGCACGCACCAGGGTAGCCGGTACGACCATGCGTTTTGCGCAGTTCCCTCCAGCGGACGTTTGCCTGCTAAAAATACAACTGTTTTACACTTTCGTGTGTGAAAAAATAGTAGGTATGCTGGCTGACTCCTAAGGTGAGGAATTTCCCATTTAAAATTTCATGTGTCGATAGACAACAGCTGAATTTGAATTCTTAAATTGGGAAAATGTTCCAAAATTTCGACCTCCCAGTTTTCCGGCTTCCGAACTTGTGACTTGCGCAACAAAAGTCTCGCAAGTTAGTACGTAAGATCTAGGCATACTTGGGAGCTAAGTTTGAATTTGTGAAGGATCTGTACGGGAAGGATACATCCTCTTAAAATTTCAGCTTTACAGCTCTTCTGGTCCCTGGGATAACAATTTTTCCCGCCAAAACTCCCGCGGGAGATCCAGACTTAGATAAAAGCTGGATCTGATTCTGCGAAGTCGCATTCTCCCAAAATTCCAGCTTTCTACCTTTTATGGTTTCTAAGATTTTAGTTTTTCCTGCCAAAACTTTCAAGGGGGGGGAGAGGGGGAGGGGATAGTTGAGGCCTAAGTCTGACTGAAAACTGATTTTGAATTTACTGGGTTCATAAGCGAATAGTTTCTTTATAATTCCAAGGTAGGAGGAGGCTCACCCTTCCCCTGCCTGTCGTCGCCCCTGCCAGGGGCCACTCTTCCCACCCTTGCCCCAAGGAACCCCTCCTCCTCCACCCTCCCCAGGAGTCCGCCTTGGATCCGCCTATGGCTAGGTTGCACGCGGGAAGGAAACATTCTTGTCAAATCCCAGCTTCCTACCTTTCATGGTTCCCGAGATAGTTTTCCCACCAAAACTTTTACGGGGGCATACGTGTTACCCGCACACACAGGGAGGTTGAATTTAAATTTTTTGGGTTACACATGGTCAGGGGACATACCCATAAAATTTCAGCCGCTTAACTTTTGCGGTTCCCGAGTTGGAAGTGCGGGACAAAATCTGGAAAACACACACACATACACAAACAAACACATGCAGAAAACCCGTATAATGAGCGTTTTGTGCTGCCGTTACACAGCGCAAAACGCATAAAAATGAAGTGAAAAATATTGTTAACCCCCCCAAAAAAAAAATTCGCGAAAACCCAATAAAAGTGCAAAAAAAAAACACAAAAATACTAAAAAGTCTATTAGTTTTCAGTGTGTTTGTGCTGTATAACAGCAGCAGAAGACGCATATGATCACGTTTCTGTTTGCGTATTTTTATCACCCACTTTCAAGTCGCTGGTTGCCGAATTGAAAATGGGTGACAAAAGTGCAAACATACACATATATGGATAACCTTTCGTCAATATGCGTTTTTACATTCGCATAATTGTGCAAAAATGCTATAAAAAAGTGTAGTTACCACAGCAACTGTAGTGAGAACACAAGCCGATGTGTAGATCCTCGTTATAGGAGGCATATCCTCGTATGCCTGCGCTAACGCCTGCATCGTTGCAGAAACCTCACTGAATACTACTACTTCTGCCGCACCTCTTCACTTTGTTGATGCAAGCTCGCGTGTTCTAAACAAAAATAGTTCTGTTTGAACCAGTAGCACAGCTGTAGGCTATTACGTATTGCTCATGAGTCAGGAAAACATCACTTTGATGTGTACATATCGCACAGGTAATGAGTGTAGGTAAGGAAATACGCAACTCAGGGCCGGCTAGCACAGCATACCAAGTCAGAAGAGGACTCCAGTATTAGCAGGCTAGCTAAATTTGCCCCATTTTAAGATGAAAATACCGAAGAAACATCATAAGGCGTACTGGAATTCAGTTAGAATAACTAAGGAGGTGGAGAAGTTCGAATGGTGGGGAGAAGAAACATACATATAAATGAGGTCTGATGACCAGAACACATTACGCAATTGCTAATGAAGCTTTTTTCGCAATTTATTACTTAATAAAAAACCAAGTCAGATGGCGCCAATGCGTCGAATTAACAAATACAACTGATCAACGACCACAAGCAAAGTGTTAACACAAGAAATACGTCGTGTGTTCTTGGGCTTCAAACACGGTAGTGTACCCATGAATTTAGGACAACAACCCCCCATTAAGTCAGGCCTCGAGTACTTCAATCATTGTTAAAAAGCGGAGAAAGGATAGCAGAATTTTGCCAGTTGCAACATCCTGTTTGCAGGGCTGCCGATGATAATTTCTGTTAAGGCTTCCTCAAAAAATTTTAAATAAAATAACTGCCCGTTAATTTAACATACGGGCCAATTAACGAGTAGTAAGAGATGTTTTTTCACTGGCCAAATCGAATCGCCTCTCGTCGTTAAGCTAAACTTCTGGGATATTTGCGAGTAATTCCGAAACAGCCGTTATTTATAAAAAATTTAAAAAAAAAAAACTAATTTCTTATTATCAAATTTCTATAAAAAGCCAATAAATAATAAAAAGCGACCGAAGTCACAGAGAGATGACTTATACGATCATGAATTCTTATTATTAGTTCTGTTCGCTGGCAACTGCAAAAAGATAAGGCCAAAAACATAAACCAAAACAACAGCAACAGTGTCACGGGGTGAGGATGCCTGATTTGTTTGGCTTGAGAAGTGCGCCCAGCAACCGGTTTACCCTGTCCACCATTTTCGATGAATCCTTCATTAGTCCGCAAGTTATTAATGCGTTGTCGTAAATCTGTAACAAAAAAAAATTTCTATCAAATTTCAGAGAATTACTTGAGCATTGGCTGTGGTGAATTGAGAGGGTTGCACTTATCTTTTTCGTGCTAAAGTATGGAAAAACACTGAGACACAGATGCGAAACATGGTCACTGATGTCAAGCCCACATCCAAAATACTGTTTTAATAAAATTGCTCGTGCAAGACCGAAATCGCAACACCTCTGTAAAGGCGAATTCATCGCCTTGCCTCCCTACCCCCCATCCCTAATGATAAAAACCCAGAATAAAACAAATGATTTGTCTTCTTTCGATGACATTCCAATGGGACGTCGGGAATCGACATTCCCAGCGGAGATCCGATCTCCGACAGGGGTCCGATTCTCTCGTTCCCAGATTGCCTATTCTGCATGGGAATCAAGGAAGAGATTTAACCATCGTAGATGAGGTCTACGATGGTCAAATCCCTTCCTTGATTCCCGTGCAGAACATTCTCAATCCTCGTTGTCGGAGATTGGGACTAATGATATCATTTGCAGGAAGAGCAGTATATAAGCTTGAGGATGCGATGTTCGAGGTTCGCGTTCACCAGCTATCGACAGTGCCGGCTGACACACTTCGCTTCGTCCGTGATCTACTTAACCTTTATCCTACTAGCGCCTGTAATTATCATCGCGTGTAATAAACATTGTTCTAATTTGGTCTGGCCCAACACTTTTCAGGGGTATTTCGATCTGCTGACATACGCGGTACTTAGATTCAAATAAACACACTTTTCCTCTTCACAAAGGCACATATTGTAAGTTAGTGACACCTGGCACATGTAGCGCAAAGGCATGCTCGGCGACAGTATGTCGGTTTGCGCTGGACAAAAGATTTTTTTTTTCTTGCTCAATGATAATAAGCAATAAATGGAGGCGGAAAATACAAGGACTCGAATCATTCGATAAAACGTTTCGCTACTAGTCCAAATTGCTAATACCCGTAGGAAATTCTACTTGCTAATACTAGCAACACTTAAATATGTGCAAGAATTCAGTTCAACACCAAATCCTTCCCCTCAACAAGCGTGGAATTTTCTCCAATAAGTCCCATAAATCAAAGTTGATAATGAAGTGAAATGAAAATTATCATTTTATTAGGTGATTATTAATTGTCATCATTGAAATGAAAATACCAGAATTCATCTACAAATGAAACTTTTTTTTTAAAAACCACAAAATAATGTTGCATTTGCAAATGTGGTGTCTGCAAATAGAAAAGGCAATTCAAGGCACATATTCAGCAAAAACAGATCTCATTCGAACCAAAGAGACCAAAAAAAGAAAAGAAAATACTGCGAATAAAAAGCAAAACAACGAAGTAGTACCTGCTCAGTGACAAGAACTGCTGTCTCCGGTTCTGTTTTGTGCAGCTTGATGAGTGCAGTGATGATGGGATGATTGAGATTCACATGAAGAGTTGGCTTTAAAAATGCCAGATGCTCGGTGTCCTTGATCTGTCCGATACGGAGGAAGTGCCGAGCAGCGCCCATTTCTGCACCAATCGTTATCATGCACGGATGCTCACTTGTTGCACTGGAGCTCTAAAAAAACCCTCCTAACAATCATAACAAAAAATCGAATGGTGGAAAACTTGCCCAAAATTTCACATTATATTTTATACAGACCAGGCAGAAGTCGAACCGGTTTTTCGTTCTGATGTGAATAAGGATAACAAAGTAGTGAAAGTCAGAAAATAAACAACCCAGAGTCGGCGCTTCGCTAAAACGGAGATCAGAAGATGAATAAACCTGTTGCAAAAGGAAGAAGGAGCGAATAACAAGGAAGCGAAGTTGGAGGCTCATTCCCCTTCGCCTT